TCTAGCGACGCCCCTGACGACACATCAGGCCTATACTTGCGTTTTGTGAGAGGCTCAAGTATCCGGGCCAGCTATTTATAGTTGAGTAATTTTTGAAGAAAAACAAACGAGTACTCGCTCTCCAATCGTATTGGTTATTTGGGAATTTCGAATGTCATCAAATATGTTTTTTTCCTTTTAACACAATGATTGTTTTGTGACTCAATTCAGGCCTAACTAAATATAATTTTTTTCGTAAGGCAACAGACAAGTAATTTAGTCATATACCTGATTTAACATTTGAAGATTTCCTACACTAATGCCTGGCCGTGCGTAACCCATATTTGAACACTAAGTTGCACCTGAAATTGCAACATGTGCATTATAAGCTCAAAATGCTTTGTTTCATACAAATACACCAAAAAAAATCCCAAAAGCTTGAATGCATACTATTTCACAAGATGTAATTAAACAATATGAATGATATTAATGATACACTTACATGTACATGCAAATGCATGATCATTTTTTGCGCTTCTTGCTCCCAGCAAGATAGCTTCCTTCTACATTTAATTTTGTTGCTGTTGTGAGTTTATATTCATATTTTTGTTATCAAACAGGAATAAATAAATGAATATATAAATACATTTGTACAATGATAGTTGTACAATGATGATAGAAGAACCAATGAAAATCGTAACTGATCTTCCTTAATTCCTTTTCTTTTCTTCCTCTTTGTTTTCTGTCCCTTTCTCTCCTCTTCCCCTTTCACTTCCCTTCTCCTTCTCTCTCTCTCTCTCTCTCTCTCTCTCTCTCTCTCTCTCTCTCTCTTTGTTGAGGGGGGGGGGGTAGGGGTACAAATCGGGACAAATTGCAACTGATCTCCCCTACCTTTCTTCTTCCTCTCCCCCCCCCCTTTTCCCTTCCCTTACTTCGCTCTCTCTCTCATTTAAGTTTGCTGAGGGAGGCAGGGGCCTTTCGCCCCCTCCCCCTCTCTCCGATCCACACGATGTTGGTGGGATTAATCGCAACTGATCTCTGCCTCTTTTCACCCTTTTCTTTTCTTCTTCCTCTTTTGTATTCCATTTTGGCTCTTCTCTTTCCCTTTCCATTCTTTCTCTCTTTTTTTTGGCGGGGAGGGGGTGGGGTGGTGGTTCGGGAGGGGGGGGGGGGCAGAGGCAAAGGTCTTTCTCTCCGCGATCCACATCTTGTTTGCAGGAAAATTGCAAGTGATATCCCTTCTTTTCTTTTCTTCTTTTGTTTCTTTCCCTTTCCTTCCTTCTCTCTTGTTTTGCGGGGGGGGGGGGGAGGCAACAGCATGGGCGGCAAGGCCCTGTCGGACCCCTTTTTCTTTTCTTCTTCCTTTCCTCTTCTCTCTTCTTTCCCTTTCCCTTCTTTTCCTTCCTCTCTCTCTCTCTCTCTCTCTCTCTCTCTCTCTCTCTCTCTTTGTTTGCTGAGGGGCCAGGGGAGGGCAGGCGAAGGCCTTTCGCGCCCGATCCACACCGCGTTGGTGGGAAAAATCACAATTGATCTTCGTACCTTTCTTTTCTTTCCCTTCCCCTTTTCTTCTTTTTCTCTCTCTTTTAAATTTGTGGTAGAAGGGGGGGGGGGGAGACAAGAGCCATTTGCCCCCCCCCCCCGATCCCCAACTTGTTGGCGGGTAAACTGCAACTGATATCCCCCTTCTTTTCTTTTCTTCCCTTTGTCTCGTCTTTTCCCCGTTTTTCTTTCCTTTCTCTTCCTTCTCTCTTTCTTTTTGCTGGGGCAACAGCCTGGGAGGTAAAGCCCTTTCGCCCCCCTCCCGATCTTCTTCTTTTCCCTTTTTCTTCTTCTTCTTCCTTTTCCTTTGTCTCTTCTTTCCCTTTCCCTTAATTTCCTTCCTTCTCTCTCTCTCTCTCTCCCTCTCTCTCTTTTGCTGAGGGGGGGGGGGGGGGTGGCGAAGGCCTTTCGCCCCCGATCTCCTTTGTTCCCCCTTTTCTTTTCTTCTTCCTCTTCTTCCTTTCCCTTACTTTCCGCTTTACATTCTCTCTCTCTCTCTCTCTCTCTCTCTCTCTCTCTCTCTCTCTTCATTTTTTGTTGGCGGTTGGGGGTCAAGGCCCTCCCCCCCCCCTTGATCCGCGCCGGGAAGACCTGTAGTGTCATCTGGCAAAGCTGAATATGGGTTATCCAGTCGTTTCATTCATTAAGTATATTTATACTTGTATTGAATATGTATACGTGTGGACTAGAGTACGGACATTCGGTGCGGCAGGCGGACTATTGGTGCGAGACCTCTTCCGCACAGATTGTCCGTCGGACATTTGAGGCGCGCACGGAATGTCCGACACGGAGGGGGGGGGTGGGGGGGGGGGGGGGGAGTCTGGGGGTGGGGGGGGGGGGGGGGGGGGGGGAGGGGGGGGGGGGGGGTGGGGGGGGTGGGGGTGGGGGGGGGGGGGGGGGGGGCGGTAGAGGACAATTTTTTTGGTGGGGGGGGTGGGGGGGGGGGAGTCAAAAAAAAAAATCGCAACGACTCAGCCAGCCGAAATGTCGCTCAGTGGGGGGGGGGGGGGTAAGAGGACCCCCCCGCGTACGCGCCTGGTTAGATTATATTCATTTCATATATCTGGGGACAAAACTTTGACAGACTTTTGGTCTTTGTTTGTTCCTCACATTTTTAGTTGATCGTTTAAGTAAATTCCCTCCCACGATCCTATTCTATTATTTTTGTCTTGATTCATGCATCTCCTTCGTTTCTCTTTTCCTCTATTTTTTCCTCCCTCTCGATCATTCCTTTATTTCATTTCATATTGTCTATTTCTGAACTGTACATATCATATCCATCTTCCTTAATTCGATTGCATGCTTTTGTGGTTCTTGAACGGCGAGTTTAATAGAGAGAGAGAGAGAGAGAGAGAGAGAGAGAGAGAGAGGGGGGGGGGGGGGGGGGTGGTCGAGGAACAAAGGGGAAGCGTCAATCCGTGTATTGTTCGTGACATCCATTAAATGCAATACTGTTGAATGTGCCAATAGGCCGGCGGGGTTCAGTCAAGGCAACATTGAATGCCCGTGATGCCATCCTTTTTGTTTTCCACCCCTCGATCACTCCTATTGATTCATTTCATTTTGTTTATTTCTGTGCTCTAAACATATACCCCTTTATATCCCCTTATCCAGCTCTACCCCGGCCCCCCCCCCTACGCCTCCCGTAGCCATCCATAACACATTGTTATGCGCTCCCCCTTCTCCCGTCCCGACACTAGCCCCATTCTCTGTTCATATTTAATTGAAACCCTAAAACCAAGGAGGTACCATATACCCCTTTATATCCCCTTATCCAGCCCAACCCCACCCCCCCTACGCCTCCCGTAGCCATCCATAACACATTGTTATGCCCTCCCCCTTCTCCCCTCCCGACACTAGCCCCATTCTCTGTTCATATTTAATTGAAACCCTAAAACCAAGGAGGTACCATATACCCCTTTATATCCCCTTATCCAGCCCAACCCCCCCCCCCTACGCCTCCCGTAGCCATCCATAACACATTGTTATGCCCTCCCCCTTCTCCCCTCCCAACACTAGCCCCATTCTCTGTTCATATTTAATTGAAACCCTAAAACCAAGGAGGTAACATATACCCCTTTATATCCCCTTATCCAGCCCTACCCCCCCCCCCCCTACGCCTCCCGAAGCCATCCATAACACATTGTTATGCCCTCCCCCTTCTCCCCTCCCGACACTAGCCCCATTCTCTGTTCATATTTAATTGAAACCCTAAAACCAAGGAGGTAACATATACCCCTTTATATCCCCTTATCCAGCCCTACCCCCCCCCCTACCTCTCCCGTAGCCATCCATAAGACATTGTTATGCCCTCCCCCTTCTCCCCTCCCGACACTAGCCCCATTCTCTGTTCATATTTAATTGAAACCCTAAAACCAAGGAGGTAACATATACCCCTTTATATCCCTTATTCAGCCCTACCCCCTACGCCTCCCGTAGCCATCCATAACACATTGTTATGCCCTCCCCCTTTTCCCCTCCCGACACTAGCCCCATTCTCTGTTCATATTTAATTGAAACCCTAAAACCAAGGAGGTAACATATACCCCTTTATACCCCTTACCACCCCCTCCCCCCTCCCTCCGGCTACCCAAAGCCATCCATAGCACATTGTTATACCCTCCCCTTCTCCCCTCCCGACACTGGCCCCATTCTCTGTTCATATTTAATTGAAATCCTAAAACCAAGGAGTTAATATATACCCTTTATACCCCCTTACCCCCCCCCCCCCTTGGCCTCCCGTAGCCATCCATAACACATTGTTATGCCCTCCCCCTTTTCCCCTCCCGACACTAGCCCCATTCTCTGTTCATATTTAATTAAAAACCCTAAAAGCAAGGAGGTAACATATACCCCTTTATATCCCCTTGTGTCAAAACAGAGTCTACTTTGTCACTTTAACAAAGTAATTTCCATGTCTTGAGTGAAGCCTAAGCGAGCTCCACACTGTCTGTGTCTAAATATAGGGTGTATATTCTTTTTATGGCACATGCAATGAACTCTAAGTTCAGACCATATTATTATGCACTATACGTCACAAACAATCAATTGCAAATCCCGCAAATCAAGCGTAAGTCCTGCGACTAATTGCAAATTTGCAATTGTTCGCAACTCAACTTTCTTGCAACGCCCCATTAGTAAGAGAGAGAGAGAGAGAGAGAGAGAGAGAGAGGGGGGGCATAAAAGCCAGATGTAGTTAATTTAATTGTTAAAACTTTAATCTTAACAAAATCCTAGGAAATAAGGAGACTAATGGGGAGTTGCAAGCGATTGCAAATATCAGTTGCAAATTTTGCAACTTGCAATCAGTGATATCCCAACCCTTCTTGCAACGCCCCATAAGAGTTTGTGCATGCAAACTATAGAGCCAATTAATAGAAGTTTTCTGATCTTGTATTACACCTATTTTCAGATTTGCCAAGCTGTTCCACCAACCTTAACTAATCTGAGCCTCCTAATTGCTGGCTCATTTAATCTCCAAGATGTCAGACGAAGTTTCCATGACTACCGATGAGGCGCTCATCTTCTTGCGAGATGTTCTTGGCATGGAGACTACGAAAGACAATATTCACAAGGATCGGGTAGCTTTCTTGGACGAAATGACAATGGCATGGCTCCATCACATTCCCTTCCAGTCCATCAGGGCAATCTCTGTGCCCCACCCCGAACGTCATCTCCCATCTTTCGCAGAGATCAAGAAGGATCTGTTCTCTAAGATGGGCGGTCTCTGTTATGATCACTCTCTGGGTACCTTGGCCATCCTCCGCGCCCTGGGTTTCGACGTCTCATTGGTGACGTGCGATGTCAGCTTCCAAGACAGCCACGCCCTGGTTCTCGTCCACAACGCTTCCTCTCAAGGCAGCATCCATATGGAGGATGTTGGAACTGGATACCCAACGTTCAAGGCCATACCGTTCGATTTTGAGCTCGTGTCCCCGAGTACCATCATTCCTATCTCCGCTACCGGTTCATCCGTGAAGGCGACCTCATCATCCGTCAACATCATGCCGATACCGATCCCAGAGCTTCCCTGTGGCCAGACAGAGTCAAGGATGGCTGGTATTCCTTCATCTACATCCATTACGACAAGCCGCAGAAGATCTCCTACTTCGATAAGGTCATGACAACACTCTACACAGAGAAATTATCCACCCCACCGTATCTTACAAGCCCTCGGTGCATGACCTGGCCTAAAGGTCGATTCATCTGCATTAAAGACACGACTTTATTGGTTGAAAAAGAAGAGGGACGGGTTGAAAAATCTTATCTTAAGTCACTAGATGATATCGTTGCTGCGTATAAGAATTACTTCCCGCAATTCCCTGAAGAGATTGTGAAAGCGGCTATGAATGACGCATGGGTTGATCTTGACTTCTCAAAGATACTACCAGCCACTGGACATGCCTAGTCCATTTGATTTATACTTAGGTTCGTTACCTTCATTCTCAACTGAAATATTCCTCTTCATGAGAATATTGTGATGAGCAGACCCTTTTTTTTTCAATCGATCAATTATTAACTTGGGGGATTTTTTTCTTCTTCTCTCTTTGCCTCTTAGAAGTGTTTATTCAATATTCAAACAATAACATAATTTTGCTTACAATTTAGCAAAACAATGGAACATCAATAATACACAAATTATTTGTTCAAATATAACTAATTAAATTCGCAGGAAATTTCATATTTTGTACTTGTAATGTTCGTTTATTTTTATTATGTTAGTCATTTCTCTCTTAAATAAATATATCGAATTCAAATCTTTATTTTCATACCCATACTTATTAAGAAAAATAATCATTTTATAAATAGACCAAAAAGCAATCGTCATTATCAAATCGATTTCGGTTTGCGAATTCATTTTGAGTAATAAACCGATATCTATCTCTATTTTAAGATTAAAAGCATGTAAAACTAAGTCCTTTATATATTCAAAGAAGGTTTCGTTTGCCTTCATTTGGGGATGTTAATTGTCGGGTTCCATCGATCCTTTGAATAAGTATTATTCTGTTTTTCACGATGGTTCAAGGATTATATTTCTAAATGTCGTCGATTAAAGTCATTATTGCTGCAAACATTTCAAAGTCAATCACCCTGTGATGAGACAAAACATTTCCGACTAAAATCATACTACGTGTCCTATCTCTAATGAACGGGTGAAAGATGTGGTGATAGGACAAGGCAGAGAGAGAGAGAGAGAGAGAGAGATAGATGAATAGGAAGAGAGAGAGAGAGAGAAAGAGAGACAGAGATAGATAGAGAGAGAGAGAGTGGTTGAAGGCAAAGTGAAAAGTGGATACGACATCCCATTATATTCTTAGTATATTTTTTTTTCATTTGGCATATCATTTACTAAGTACCATTAATGCCCTCCCCATCCCTTCCTCATGGCACAAGTGCCTGCCCTTAAATACACGCTACGCCAATGATCTTCATTACCATAGATTTGTTTTTATATAAGGGGCGGATCCAAGATATTTTATAAAAAGATTGGGAGATAACTTTTAGAAGGGGTAATCAGATTATTTCTGAAAATTAATGAGAGATAAGTAAAGATTCATTATATATTTAATCAATTTATGCATATCATCAGGCGCGGATCCACGGGGGGAGCGGTGCTCGACCCCCTGGCAAAAAAAAAAATCAACAAAAAAAGACGGGCCCCTCACCCCTGGCAAACAAAAGTGTTTAACAAAAGTTGGTAACTACAATTTAAACCTTTTACTTTTTTTTATTACGGTAGGGAGGGGTGTTGAGTGGGAACAAATATTATTTTTTTTTATGAAAGGTGACTACTTTCGTGAGCATACATTATCTGTCTCATCGTGGGTTTTACAATTTCGTACAAATAGATCTTAGATCTGTTGTTAGGGATGATTTACTTGGTTTGGTTTGGTTTGGGAGGGGGCAGGCGGTGGGGCACAGTGGGGCACAGTGCCCCCCAACATTTTTAAGTACCCCCAAAGTCCCCATATTTACGTAGGAAAAGAGCCCTTATTATTTTGCAAAAGTGCCCCTTCCCCTTTTCACCTCTGATAATTTTCCTTTTAACAATGACGTGTACCCTTTCCCCTTTCTAATAGGGGACATATCCTCTTTTCATAAATGCCCCTTTCACCTCTTATAAATGCCTCTATCAGTATCTGGTGGGTGCCTCTTTTCTGTTGACAAACACCCATTTCCCATTCTCATAAGTGCCTTTTTCATCTCTGTAAGTGCGTCCTTTCAGTTGTAAAAAGTGACCCATTTTCATCTGGGATAATTTTCCTTTGTACTTTGACACGTGTTCCTTATGAGATAATTATATGTTACTTATCAAAGGTATTTTCAGTCTTCCGTTATGAGAATGTGCTTATAACCCCATCAGGATTGGGGTTTTGTCTCTTTATTAGATGTACTTTTTCGAACTGCGACTTCACAAATTCAAACAAACACACCCAGCTGCAATGAATGATGCTTAAGCAATATCTTGTATAATGTGAAAAGATAATCAAATATTGAAATCATCCCTGATAAGTAATCACAATTAGGGGCATATACTAAAGTTTAAAAGAATGTATATTTTCGCTTTGAGATTTCCCTTTGTAGGTGCCCTTTTTTTAAAGTTCACTTCTTTGTTGCTGCCCTTTCACTTTGGAAGTCGCTCCGCCACCCCTGGGCCGGTATTCAATATTCAATACTTAGAATAAGTGCGAAATTTACTAAATAAATTCCTAAGCTAAGAGCTGTATTTATCTCTATAGATAGAGAAGGAAAGTAAACACAAAAAGAGGGAGAAAGGAAAAGCAACAGAGAGAGGATAATGGATAGGGAAGAGGGAAAATAATGAGAAAATAAACTCCTAGAGGTAGAGAGGAGTTAGAAGTAGGATGAAATGAGGAGAAATAGGGTGGATGGAGGAGAGGTAAGGTGGAAGGAGGAGAGGTAAGAGGGAAGGAGGGGAGAAGGGTGAATGGAGGAGAGATAGGTACGTGGGGGGGGGGGTAGGTTGGATGGAGGGATGGTAGAGGTAAGGTGGATGGAGGAGAGATAGGGTGGATGGAGGGTGGTAGAGGTAGGGTGGATGGAGGAGAGGTAGGTGGATGGAGGGTTGGTAGAGGTAGGGTGGATGGAGGAGAGATGGGTACGTGGGGGTAGGTTGGATTTAGGGGTGGTAGAGGTAGGGTGGAAGGAGGAGAGGTAGGGTGGATGGAGGAGAGATGGGTACGTGGGGGTAGGTTGGATTTAGGGGTGGTAGAGGTAGGGTGGATGGAGGAGAGGTAGGGTGGATGGAGGGTTGGTAGAGGTAGGGTGGAAGGAGGAGAGATGTGTACGTTGGGGGTAGGTTGGATGGAGGGGTGGTAGAGGTAGGGTGGATCGAGGAGAGATGTGTACGTTGGGGGTAGGTTGGATGGAGGGGTGGTAGAGTTAGGGTGGAAGGAGGAGCGGTAGGGTGGATGGAGGGGTGGTAGGGGGGATGGATGGAGGAGAGATGAGTACGTGGGGTAGGTTTGATGGAGGGGTGGTAGAGGTAGGGTGGAGGAGAGATAGGGTGGATGGAGGGTGGTAGAGGGGGGATGGATGGAGGAGAGATAGGGTGGTGGATGAGAGGTAGAGTGGAGGGGAGGTAGAGGTTGGGGTTGACGAAGGGGTGGTAGAGGTATGGCGGATGGAGGAAAGATGGGTTCATGGGAGGTAGGGTGGGTGGAGGAGAGGTAAGGTGGAAGGAGGAGAGGTAGTGTGGATGGAGCAGTGGTAGAGGTAGGGTGGGTGGACGAGAGATGTGTACGTGGGGGTAGGTGGAGGGGAGGGGTGGTAAATGTAGGGTGGATGGAGGGTGGTAGAGGTAGGGTGGATGGAGGAGAGGTAGAGTGGAGGGGAGGTAGAGGTTGGGGTTGGGGTTGATGGTAGGGTAGGAGGAGTGAGGTAGGGTGGATGGAGGAGAGGTAGGGTGGATGGAGGAGAGGTAGGGATGATAGAGGGTTGGTGGAGGTAGGGTGGATGGAGGAGAGATGAGTACGTGAGGGGTAGGTGGATGGAGGGTGGTAGAGGTATGTTGGATGGAGGTGTGGTAGAGGTAGGGTGGATGGAGGGGTCGAAGAGGTAGGGTGGATGGAGAAGAGATGTGTATGTGGGGGTAGGTTGGATGGAGGGTTGGTAAATGTAGGGTGGAAAAAGGAGAGGTAGGGTGGATGGAGGGGTGGTAGAGGTAGGGTGGATGGAGGAGAGGTAGAGTGGAGGGGAGGTAGAGGTTGGGGTTGGGGTGATGGTAGGGTAGGAGGAGTGAGGTAGGGTGGATGGAGGAGAGGTAGGGTGGATGGAGGAGAGGTAGGGATGATAGAGGGTTGGTGGAGGTAGGGTGGATGGAGGAGAGATGAGTACGTGAGGTAGGTTGGATGGAGGGGTGGTAGAGGTATGTGGATGGAGGTGTGGTAGAGGTAGGGTGGATGGAGGGGTCGAAGAGGTAGGGTGGGTGGAGAAGAGATGGGTACGTGGGGGGTAGGTTGGATGGAGGGGTACGGGTAGAGGTAGGGTGGATGGAGGAGAGGTAGGGTGGATCGAGGAGAGATGGGTACGTGGGAGGTAGGTTGGATGGAGGGGTACGTGGTAGAGGTAGGTAGTGGATGGAGGAGAGGTAGGGTGGATCGAGGAGAGATGGGTACGTGGGGGTAGTTGGATGGAGGGGTGGTAAATGTAGGGTGGAAAAAGGAGAGGTATGGTGGATGGAGGGGTGGTAGAGGTTGGGGTGGATGGAGGGGTAATAGAGGTAGGGTAGGAGGAGGAGAGAGGTAGGGTAGGAGAAGAGAGAGGTAGGGTGAAGGAGGAGTGAGGTAGTGTGGATGGAGAAGAGGTAGGGTGGAAGGAGGAGAGATGGGTACGTGAGGTAGGTTGGATGGAGGGGTGGTAGAAGTTGGGGTGGATGGAGGGGTAATAGGGTAGGTAGAAGAGGGAGAGAGGTAGGGTGGATGGAGAAGAGGTAGGGTGGATGGAGGAGAGGTAGGGTGGATGGAGGAGAGGTAGGGTTGGATGGAGGGTTGGTAGAGGTAGGGTGGATGGAGGAGAGATGAGTACGTGAGGGGTAGGTTGGATGAAGGGGTGGTATAGAGGTAGGGTGGATGGAGAAGAGGTAGGGTGGATGGAGGAGAGA